CGGCAGCCAGAGCAAGCAGTTCCGCGAGGAATCTGCCCGAGGTAATCGAAGCCCCGAAGGCGATTACATCGGAACTGCAAGACAGCAGCTGAAGAGAGCCATCGGCCTGGGATATACTTCGATGGCTGACCGCTATGAGAACGACGTGCAGTTCGTGGAACGGATGACCGAGCACAACATTACGTTGCTCGACATCCAGCTGCGAGACATAGTGGCACATGGTCATCTTCCTATGCCCCCACGCACCCGTGCTCAGGTTGATCTTGGAGTGGGAATGCGGACCGCAAACGATCTGGATTTTGCAAAATTAAAATTGATGTACGTGGACGAAGACATCGCGGACATTACCGGCAGCGACCCAGGTCTCTTGGAACGCTTTGAACACTCTCACTGGGTGATCATCTGGAAGCGTGAGCTCTATTCTCTCAAGGAATTCCAGGACCTCTGCAATCACCGCAAGACCCGTGGCAAAGGCACCAACCTGTTGACCTTTACCTGTGTCATGGAGATCATCGAGGTACCATCATTGAGAGAGCTTATGAAACCATTGACAGCTCCCTACCAGTTGCTCAACAGCTTGTGCAAAACAAGCGTCAGCAAAGCGAACGGGCGGCTGAAAGGAATGCAGCCAAAGGTCGTGGAAAGGCTAGCAGAGCTCATGTCGCTGCCTCGGTCAGCAGAGCTCATACCGCTGCCCCAAAAACTCCACCAAAGACCGCACCAAGCCAGAGGGTTGCCCCAACAGCCGAACCGGAAGGTGAAAGCTCACCAAGCGCTGGCTACAATGCGATTGGCCCGATTGACATTCGCCAGATGCCTACGGCAAAATTCCCACCAAGTCCACCGACTACCTTGCAGCGCCCACCTGCACCAAAGACGCCACCGATCCCTTCACCAGCATCTACCACAACATCGAAGTCCGTGCCTGTGAGAGATGCAAGAGAGGGAGCTCCCGGCACAGCTCGCGCTGTTGCCCGAGAGTATCAAGATGGCGATCGCTGGGGATACTACACCTTCTACCAGGGGCAATGGTGGACTCGTGACTACTATGGACGGTGGTCAACTGGGAACTGGCGATCCTACTAAATTCGAGCTGCATGCATGCATTTGAAGCGTGTGCCATAGAGTGATCTTTAAAAGAAGATTCACGCTGGCATCACAGCTTAGCCCGATCATAGCTGCTAATTCGCGCGTCGCTTGCGAAAGCAGAGGGGGTGTTGAAATACATCACCTAAAGCTAAGCTTTTACGCACCATGCCAATTCTTGGCTCAAGCACGCAGCTCATCGCGACAAAAAGGAGCGCTAGCAGTTGCAGCTTAGCGGAATTTGACTGTATTTTAGTGGTTGAGCCTGAAAATACAGATCTAAGAATCTCACAGATGTATCCCTCTTTGTTCAAAAAGACTGCAAGAAACTTTTGGGTATGATCCCACCCCCAAAAGATCATTTTCTGACTAGGACGTGGGCGGTTGCCAAGTTCATTCTAAAGACGCGCGCTCCCTGATCTGAAAGATTTCTTCACACCGCTTCGAAAGGGAAGGGCCGTTGGGTAGCGCTTTCAACGCTGGGTGTACCACAGCACCCCCCATCCAAGGTAGGGGGTATGTCTCTATCTTCCGGCGCATTCTGAGTCGCACTGGAGCCTTGCAGCTGTCCGCGGGCGCTTTTTTGGCCTGGGCTTCGGGTCCAACCGCAAAATCCGCAATCAGCTCATGCATCTAGCAGCAGCGCTTCACGCAGCTGCTGCTATTTTTACCAGGCAGATGCTGGTTTGAGTCTGCAGTTTGAGACTTTCTTGAAACACGCTCTAAGCTTTACAAACCTGTCTTCTTGCGACTTTTGGAGGGGCGCACCAACGCAGGCCGAGCTGGGATGGCCTCTTACAGCAGCTTGCCGCAGAGGCATGTTGGCGTTGTCGCAGGTGTATGCTGGTTTGTTCGCCAGAAGTATTTGCATTTGATACGTTTTCAGGCAGCGGAGCTTGTCCGAGCGGAGCAAGTGCATATCTCAGCTTCACATCGCACATCAGAATATACATGAACATACACAAAAAGGACACGCTGCAGCTTCACCGCTTGAAAAAGGCACAGAGGGGAGCTGCTCCGGAGACATCAGGCGGCGTTGTGGCACCGTGTGACTCCTCGATGCCCCCCCGTGTCTCCCGCACTCTTTTCTAGGCGGGCCCAGTGCTTCAGAGCCTGCCCACAGCTCTGCAACTTTGCAGCAGGCCTGACATCATACAGTAGAAGATCATTAATCATGAGCGTCCAATGTCGGAAAAGTCGGGCAAGAAGCAAAGGGAGCAGACACTTCAATGCTTCTATATGCTGCTTATCGAAGGAGCCGACTTTGCCTGAGCGTTTTGGGTTTGGGGCTCGGTGCTTGATGTCCGGATAGTTCTGAAGCGGACGCCAACCCGTTTCGTCGATTCGCGGACCAGAGTTTCTAATTGCCGCCTGAGTGAAGGTCTCCGGAGCCTGCACCGACGCCTTTGACTCTCATCAAGACTCGGGAGGCCCCATAAGAAAGATTAAGAAAGTTTATATATATATATTGTATGATGTTGTATACTGTAATATTTTGAGATTTGGTAAGATCGTAAAAGTTATCAAAGGAAGTTTAGTGTGCAAAACTTCCGTGTTACGGACATTCAACAGCTGTTCAACCACCACTCATCATACACCACTCATCATACACCACTCATCATACACCACTCATCCTACACCACTCATCATACACCACTCACCATGCACCCACTCATCATACACCACTCATCATACACCACTCATCACACCCCACTCATCATACACCACTCATCATACACGACTCATCATACACCACTCATCATACACCACTCATCATACACCACTCATCATACACCACTCATCATACACCACTCATCATACACTAATCATCATACACCACTCATCATACACGACTCACCACACACCACTCATCATACACCACTCATCATACACCGCTCATCATACACCACTCATCATACACCACTCATCATACACCAGTCATCATACAACCAGTCTTCATACATCACTCATCATACACCACTCATCATACACCAGTCATCATACACCAGTCACCATACACCACTCATCATACGCTACTTATCATCCAGTTTGCTCTACCTCCAGTTGGCTCTAGTGTCAACAGCTCTAGCTCCAATAAGCTCTTAGTTTCAATAGCTCTAGCTCCAGTTAGCTCTGGTTTCAACAGCTCAAGCTCCAGGCAACTCCAGCTCCAGGTGCAGATTTCGTGGCAGGCGCAGCACTTTGTGAACCTCCATGTGCAGATTTCGTGGCAGGTGCAGCACTTTGTGAACCTCCATGTGCAGATTTCGTGGCAGGCACAGCACTTTGCGAACCTCCATGTGCAGATTTCGTGGCAGGTGCAGCACTTTGTGAACCTCCATGCGCAGATTTCGTGGCAGGCACAGCACTTTGTGCACCTCCATGTGCAGACGTCGTGGCAGGCGCAATACAAAATGCGTTGTGGAGAGATAGCGAACGCACGAAATGCTGTATTTTTCAATGGAACCGGTGGCTCCGAAGCTGGCAAGTCAAGGTCTGCGGAACGACGGTTCCCTGAGTCTGCAGATCAACTAAATTTAGTTTTTGGATGAAATCAATGTAATTGAAAAAATTAGTAGGTTTCCTAGTAAATTTTGGAAAAACTAATTTTTCATAGTAAATTTCAACAAAGTCAAAACAACATAGAAACAGCGTAGAAACAACATATAAACAACATATAAACAACATAGAAACAGCATAGAAACAACATATAAACAACATAGAAACAACCACAACAGTCAACACAAAAACAACACAGAAACAAACAAAACATGGGTTTGGAAGTTACACATGAAGTTGGTTTTCACAGGTAACACACACAAGTAGCATTGGAATGAATTGACACCTTTGAAGTTTGTCTTCACAGGTAACAGACAAGAATGGTTTCCAACATCAACTCACAAGCAATTTCTTTTTTCTTTTTGCTGGGATGTGTGAAGCCAGGTGAAACTCAAAGCTTGCCCTGCAACCACATTAAATGGCGCTCTTTCCAGGCTGCTTTTTTGGAAGCTTGCCAATGCTTGGTGCCAGCTAGGCAACTCTTCCAAAGGGTCTGTGCCCTGTGCATGGTACTCTCACCCTTGTAGCACCACAGCAAAAATGGGTGGATGTACTTGGAAAATTGGAGACTATGAAGTGCAAAGTGGGTCTTCGATGTGACATTGAAAATTTTTATGTCTTGTGCTTCGAAGTGTTCACTCAATTGTTTGTGCAGCTGAGCCATAGTCAACCCTGCCTGAAAAACTTTGTCATATTGTGCCTGTGGAATTGCAGTAAACCCATATGTAGGAGAAAAGGTTTCCAAAGTTCTCTTGAGCTCAAGATTGTATTGTAAGAACAATCTGACACGCGCATGCCACTCATCTCCTGCTTGCATTTGTTCTTGCCAAAGGTCATGGAGACAGTGTGCCAAACCTGCTATGTCTGCTGCCCTTCCTCGCAGTTTAGGGTATCCTTTTTTTGGTTGAAACATGGTGAGCTTGTCCAGTTTCATCTTGTATGGGTGCTTTGCCTGATTCTTCTTCTGGTGTTGCTTGATGTAGTTGTAGACAAACTGCAGGTTGTCCAAAGGCTCACCATCCAACAAATAGTACACAAGTAAGTGGATGACAGATCCAAAGAAATGTTGTAACCAACCAAGATGCATTGTATGCATGAAATCCATGGCTAAGCATTGGTTGCTGAAGCCTGCCATGGTGTACAGTGGCCCTTTAGGGCTCCAGTGCTCTTTGTAATTGCTTGGCATAAGCAGTGAAGCTTGCCAGGGGCTGTCTTTTCGGTTGTCCAAATAGGACATGGGTCCTGCAAAGGAAGCTCGACAAAGAGGACAGGGTTTTTCATGGTTGGTCACCCTTGGTGTCTCCAACCATTTGCTCATGTAGTCTAGATCCCCTGCCAGCTGAAGAAGTATTGCACAGTAGCCTTCAGCCAAGTCTTTGCCAGCTCTTCTGGCTTCCTTTGACCCCAATGCAAATGGTTGGCCCTGCCAATCCACCAAAGGATATTTCCCTGAAGCCAATGCAGAAAAAGACCACTTCATAATTGTCCAAAACACTTCCATTGTTCCCAAAGCAGATCCAGCAGCTGGGACCACATATTTTTTCGAATATGCCCCAAATGTAAAGGTGTGCGTCTTGAAAGCCAGCTCCACCTGCTGATGCCATGATGGAAAACAATGAAAAAACCAGTGCACACTTACACCAGATTTTTCCAGTGCCTAAGACTGGCACCTCATCACCGTGTAATCCCAGTGGTATGGTGAAGCTCTTCCATCCCTTCCTTCTTCTACATGGATGGGACTGCATACATGGGTGGCCTTCAAAAGAATTCCAAAAACCAGGAAGTTTGGCTGGATCTGGGAGGATGCATTTTTCCCAGGCTTCATCCTTTTGGTACATAGCTGCAAAGTACTCGTGTGGTAGAAGGATCGCTGCAGAGGGAGTGTGATCCACACTACCCTTCATAGGCATGTGAACCTGGAGGGGGTCTGGGAGAGTAGACTCCTTGGCCATCATCCTAGTCAACATAGGGCCCAAATTCTTTGCATGTTCCAATGAAGCAATCTTCTTGAGCTCTGTGATCTTGAGGCCTGAGGCAGCATTTTCCAAATCTTGCTGAGCTGCCTTAGCAATGGAGTGGATCAAAGCTCCACTCATGAGCCCTTTTGCAAAGTGAGTCATGAGCAAGGCATAGAGAGCACTTTGGCATTCCTGTTCTTGCGCTGCTTTGGCCAACCTTTGTTGCACGCCTCCTTTTCTTTTTTTGGTGGGAGGGCCACCAGGAAGCATTGATTCAAAATTTGGTGAAACTGCTCCAGGGAGCAACTGAGTGAGAGACTGTGTGATGTAATGTTTCTTAAGCGCTTAATGCTGAAGTCCTTGGAGTTACTTGTGAGTTACTTGTGAAGTTACTTCTTGATGTTACTTGTGAATGCATCAAGTGAGATTGCATCTATATATGCTTATCTCAATCTTTGCTGCAGAAAAAACCATAGTAAAAGCACTATTACATATTCAATCATAATGTGACTATCCAACAGCTTTGGATCATAACTTGACAGATCCCTGCATAGAACTGGGTGCAATGGCTACTCATCACCTGCCTAAGCTGGCAACTGTTGCTGCTAAAGATGAAGCAAGAAAGCGAAGGCCCTGAAGATGGCTGAGGCTGAGGGCAGGGGTGACCACCTGACAGTAGCCACGCTGGCTGTACCTTTTTTTTGTGTGCTGAAAAAGAAACAGCTTCAGTTACTTGTAGTGCTGATGGACTCAGGTAACTAACTTGTTGAAGGCAGTATGCTGACAGATGTTCTCATGTAAATCCAAAACATGTAACTGACAGATTTTCTCATGTGACTCTTTTGTATTTGTATCCAGTATCCATAACATGTAACTGACTCAACTGACAGATATACCCATGTAACCCATGAAGTGCTGACATTTTTTCAACCAATATTCTGCGAAGCTTAGGTTTGATTCTCTTCAGGTTGCTGCAAAAGCAAGCCTTACTCGAATCTTGCTGCCCATGTCAATAGGGGCAATCACTTCTTAGCGCGGTTGGCTCGAGCATTCAACTGTCCCTTGATGCCAGCCAGAATGTCATCCAGGCTCTCAGCCTTCTTGCCACACTCTGCCATCAGGGCATTGCGCTTGCTTAGTGTGAGCTCTTGACCATTCTCAAGCTCTTTGAACCGGTATGCGTGTGAAATCTCAGCCAGGACCTTCCTGATATCAGTCATCACATCTTTCCTGAGATTATGCAAAATGATTCAAAAACACAAGTAGAGAACATGAGCCATATATAAGATTCCCATTTTATGAGCCAACAATATGTGTTCTTTTTCAAACATGATATCAATCATTGAATATATCATCTCTGAGACAGTGCATGTCACAAGTAACTTGTGTCTCCATCAAATGAATGACTTCTCTCAAGTAACTTTGAACATGAGTTCAGGGATATAATGCACACATAGTCTCTCAAGTAACTTTCTTCTAGTTACCTTTCCCTATAAGAAGTCTCCCCTAAAGCATATTGCAGCCAAGATGCACCACTTCAAAGACTGTGTCAGCACGGTTGTCCCCAATGACCTGCAAATGCTTGAGACCATCCTTCTCAAGCTTCGACATGGCATCCTTGGCCTGAATCAACTGTGTCTGGGCCATTTTCCACTGCTGAGGAGAAAGGGGAGCATCCATGTCCTGAATGGCCAAGGGCGGTGCTGCAGAGCTACTGGAACCTGAGGTGGTAGGCAGTGCAAAGCCCTGGGACCAATGTCCTGCTGACATTGCTTCAATCATCTTGTTCATCTTGGCCATTTGCTTCTGGTCTCCCTCCTTTTGCTGAATCCAACCCAGTGCGGTTTTATCTCCCTGCTTACAGGTCTGGGCTTCTTCCATCCATAAGTAGCGTGGACCATGGTCTGTTTGGA